ACATATGATGGGAGGCAGACAGACGCGAATACGAATGGAAGCATCACTCAACACAAAGCACGCTGCTTCCGTGACATGGGGCGATTAGCGACGCTTAAGGAGGTGCGCGGCAGGGCCTGCGAGGGGGCGCATTACGGGATGCCCATTGTAGGTTCTAGGAAAGAGCCTGCTCTTATACCATCTCAGAGTAAGAACGGCGGAATGATTGAACTAGGGATGCGGGCAACACAAGTACAATCGTGAAATGTACTATACTCTCTACAATATGGTTTGGATTGCTTTTGTTGCTATGCCGTAGACCAAGCATCCGCTCCAGCACCCCCTCCCGTCGGGCCTGCAGGCCCATGACCAGCTTCAGTGCCGCCTCCACTTGACGCACTAGTGCCACCAGTATCTCCGCCACCCCCTCCACCACCCTTCCGCCCTTTCTTACCTCCCTTGCCCCTGGGCCGCCCACCCGTGGTAAACATGGGTGCAGTCTCATCAAAATCACGAAGCACAGTAGAGGCAAGAAAAGTGCAGGTGGGGAGCTGTGCCAATAGACTCCTGAAAGGGGGGATCTACGATGCCAGAAGCAGAGGCAACAGAGCGGAGGTTGCTCTCAACATCCTTGAGTGCTACCTCAAGGACACCGATAGTGAGCGCAATAGGGTGCTTTCAAAGAAGTGCGTCACTTACAGGTGCTAGGCAGTCAGGAGGGCTAGTGAGTATGAAGTGATTAGTGATTCGCATAAGCAAGGTGAGTAGTGCAAGCTCAGCCTCAGTACAAGCAGCACGGTAGCTGGTGTCAAGCGAGCGCAGGTCAGGCTGCCACTGCTCATGTGGCTACTGACGCTCGTGCGTCTACTGGTGCGCGTGCAGCTACGAAAGTGCGGCTGTGTGTGTAGCTGCTGTGCATGCACGCTGCCTATGCGCGCGTGGCTGTGCGTGCTGCACTTGCTGTGTGCACTGCAATTGCAGTGCGCACATGTTGCCTATGCCCAACTGCTGTGTACGCTACCTGTGCACACATTGTTGTGCGTGTGTGCGCTGCTCGTACAGCGTACGCGCATCAGTGCAGGGCATGGCGGCGCAGGGCAGCGTGCAGTGCGGGGCAACACTTGGCAGCGGGCAGTGCGATGGAACGGGGCGGGGCGCGACCTGCTAAGGGACGGGACGGGGCGCAACCGACTACATTATCTTGTTCTCTTTCAACTATTATCAACAAGGTCATTACAAGACTTCATTGTCTTCATTTCAATCTTAGCTTGTCTTATCCTATCCACTACGATTCCCGGTTAAATCAACATCTGTTACTGTACCAACTGGTGAATCCGTTAACATACCAACTGATGAAACAGTTAATGTACCAACTGTTGATTCCGTTATTGTACCAACTGGTGAAATCGTTAATGTACCAACTAAATTATCTTGTTTCTTTCAAAAAAGATGCTGGAAAATCAGCCTCGGTTAAAAAAAGGTCTGTAATATTTTCTTAACCTAAATCATCATTTTCTCGCTGAATCCTGAGGCCCTGTCTGGGAGGCAGTACCGTTTTGTCAAGATAGTAGCATAAGTAGGAGCAAGGGTTTTTGTAGGGCCTAGGCTTAGAAGCATAGGCCAAGGGGGTATCGAGAGAGTTTTGCCAAGAAGGAGGTTTGACTTAAGGTTCAAAGGCCCAAGTTATACAAGAAAGAAGGCAAGAAGTGGTGCACCACAAACAAGATTAGGTATCTACACTACACCCAAAAACAATAATATATATATGTAGAACATATTTTGGCATGCCCACATGATTGTTTGCAGATACAAGTGACACGCCCCCATAATTGTTTGCGGGTACAAGTGCAGTAACGCCTTCTTACGGGGTACACCATGTAGAGTGCAGCGGAAGTAGCAGAGGGCAAGTGGGGAAGAGGCGGCTGATGCTGCAGCTGGACACACACCACCCCCTCAACCTCCCCCCCACAGCAGCAGCAGCAGCAGCGGCAGAGAGGAGAGAGAGGAGGAGGCGTGGCAACAGATGCTGCAATTAAGTCACCCACCACCCACACCCCCTGAACCTCCCCACCACAGGACACTCCCCCCTACAACAGCAGGTGCAGCCGTGAGAAAGAGGAGGCAGGATGGCACTGTAGATGCAACCTCCCCCTCAAACCCTCTCCCCCCCCCCCATGCTGCACACGCAACATGGAGAGCGAGAAGGGGGGGGTCGTTGTAGGGGCTGCACATGCGGCTGCAGATGCACGTGCAGAGGGGAGCAATCGCACGCACTGCAGCAGGGCGCGCGGGGGCACCAGGCGACGTGGGCTGCAGGGTGCGTGGGCAGCAGGTGACGCGGGCTGCAGGGTGCGTGGGCAGCAGGCGACGAAAGCACCTCGGCACTCGGGGCGCAGGGCAGCAGGGCGCACGTGGCGCGCACGGCAGCATAGCGCGGGGGGCGCGCAGGGCAGCAGGGCGCGTGGGTAGCAGGGAGCACATGGCGCGCAGGGCAGCAGAACGCGCGGGCGTGCGCAGGGCAGCAGGGCGCGATGTGAGAGTACGACGGCTGATGCTGGCTTTGCTAGCTTGCCTAGACTTTATTATGCTATATCTAGCTTGGGTTTATTTTATCATGCATAGATATGCTTGATTTCCTAGGTTATGTGCATTCTTATATTGTGTTATAGTTATAGCATCGAACCAGGTTACGTGTACCAAACTCAAGCCTATTCGGTTTCCACCGAATTGCTTTCAACTGAGTTCGGGACGTATCTGTTCGGGGCGCTTCGCGACCCTCAGAACATTCGCGTAACACCTGGGTAACTGGCCTTGTGTCGAGACTATATATAGCCTCGTCTTGTACCCAGGTGAATCATTTAATTACAACTCTCTTTCCTGAGCTCGATCCGAGATCCTCACACGCGCAGGGCACGCACGGCAGAAACCGACGTGCGCAGGGCAGAATCCGACACGCACTCGGGGCGCGCGACGGGCAGAAACAGATGCGGGCGACGGGCAGTGTCAGAACTTATATTTGTAACTGCCTGTAGCTGTAGCTAGTGAAGTTATTATAAACTTAGTTTGGTGGTGCACCTTCTTTGTTTCCTATGCTATATGTTCCTTGAAACCTATAGTGAAATCATTCTTCCCAATTCTCTCGATCCTCACCCTTGGCACAAAACTACTCGATATCCTAGTTGGGCCTAGGCTCCTAAGCCTAGGCCCTAGTAAAACTTAGTTCATTCTCACTCATCTTGATATGGTATCAGAGCAAGTTACGTCCTGGCCTGTGCGCCCGCCTCATGTTTCCGCTGCTACGTTTTTCCGGTCGCGCGCCTAGGGCGCGTGGCGATTTTCTCTTGTCCCGCCCCCGGTTGGCGTGTGACTCCTTGTCTGCCCGTCGCGCGCCCCGTGGCACGCGACGGTGCCCTAAGCCTGCCCGTCGTGCGCCCCGTGGCACGCGACGGTGCCCTGCTCGTCGTGCGCCCCGAGGCCCACGACCGGGCCCTAAACTTAAACTTACCCGTCGTGCGCCCCGTGGCACGCGACGGGCCTCTCCGCACCTGCTATCCCTGCAGCCGCCCCTGACCTATCTGCGCCGACACAATTTAGCCGCTCTGCGGCTTTCTTCCCGCCCACCCCCTCCTCCTTTGTCTCCCTGCAGCCGTGGGGAGGAGGGTATGGGGGTGGCGGGTGTTGGAGTGTTGGGTCGTCTCCTTCCCTTCCCCTCCTCCTTTCGTTCCCACTGCTGCAGCTGCCGCTGGGGGGGAGGGTGTGAGGGTGTGGGGGAGCAGGGGGAGTGGCACCGGGGTGGCGGGTGTGAGGCAACCAGCAGCCGACCCTCCACCTCTCCTCTCTTCCCCCCTTCTCTGCTGCTCCTGCAGCGGTGTGGGGGAGGGGAAGGAGGAGGGTGAGGAGATGGAGGGGGTGACCAGCTAGTGTCAGCCCGCCTGCAGTTCCTGATGTTGCTTGTTTATTATTTTGCATGTGTACACCTGCAGGTTGTATTCTGCACAAACTCCTGCTGCAGGCAGTTATGGGGGAGTGTCAGAACTTATATTTGTAACTGCCTGTAGCTGTAGTTAGTGTAGTTATTATAAACTTAGTTTGGTGGTGCACCTTCTTTATTTCCTATGCTATATGTTCCTTGAAACCTATAGTGAAATCATTCTTCCCAATTCTCTCGATCCCCACCCTTGGCACAAAACTACTCGATATCCTAGTTGGGCCTAGGCTCCTAAGCCTAGGCCCTAGTAAAACTTAGTTCATTCTCGCTCATCTTGATAGGCAGAAACCGACACGCGCGACGGGCAGAAACCGACGTGCGCGACGGGCAGCGTGACAGAGTGCTAACGGTGGGCCCATTATCGGTCCGAGGAGGAATCGCTCTGATAGCATGTCAAGATAGTAGCATAAGTACGAGCAAGGGTTTTAGTAGGGTCTAGGCTTAGAAGCCTAGGCCAAGGGGGTATTGAATGACTTTTGCCAAGAATGAGGTTTGAAATATACATGTAGAACACATTTTGACAAGTTTTTTAGCAGCAACAAGAGTTTCTATCTTGTCAATTTTGTTTTTTTCACCACTCATAACCAACCCTTGACTTTCTCCTTGGTGGGTGCTCTCGATTGTCCCAAATTGCAAATGCAGTTTTTTCAAGTTTGCACAACCCTTGGCATCAACTTGACCCGCGCGCCTTGTAACTTGGGACTCAGGCTTTGACGTGCCAATTGGCGAATCCGTTATGTACCAACTGGTGAATATCGTAATGTACCAACTGGTGAATATGTTAATGTACCAACTGGTGAATATGTTAATGCACCAACTGATGAATATGTTAATGTACCAACTGCTGAATATGTTAGAGTACCAATTGGTGAATATGTTAATGTACCAACTGGTGAATATGTTAATATATTAACAGGTGAATCTGTTAATGTACCACCTGGTGAATTCATGAATGTGCCATAGTTGGGATGTGCTGCCGGTACAATAAAAAATCCCCCAGCCCAAGTCATAAGAAAACAATGCCTCTCCCCATCTACACCACAAACTCCCTACTGTCCACCACACCCAGCATAGCCAGCTGTGCGCCTAACGCACCGCCAGTGTCTTGCACCTCCCCTCTCTCTGCGCCACTTCCCCAGAACATCCCGCTCCATCGCCCCCTGCTCTGCCTCCCCTCACTCTCCCCTCGACTCATTCTTCTCTCCCTCCTTCGTCCCCTATCACTCCCCTGCAGCAGGGAGGCGTGAAGGAGCTTCAGAGAGCGGAGGGCCGCGGAGGGAGTGGGGCGGAGGGAGGGGGAGGGAGAGGTGCAGGAGAGGGCGAGGTGGAAGAGAGGGAGAAGGAGGGAGTGAGGGGGTGGAGGGTGTGGCAGGAGGGGGTCGAGGAGAGGGGAGAGGTTGCCAGCTGTCACATGCTGCTGGGCCTGAGAGTGGGGGCAGAGGGGACGAGAAGAGGGATCGGCGGGCAGGGGAAGAAGGAAAGGGGAAGGTGTTTCAGGAGGATGGATGGGAAGAGTAGGGATGGGGATGGAGGAGCAGCGCAGTGTGAGTACGACACTCAGGTGTCCCATGTGAGTCGTGCGCTGTGATGCCTGCCATGTGAGTCGTGCGCTGTGATGCCTGCCATGTGAGTCGTGCGCTGTGATGCCTGCCATGTGAGTCGTGCGCTGTGATGCCTGCCATGTGAGTCGTGCGCTGTGATGCCTGCCATGTGAGTCGTGCGCTGTGATGCCTGCCATGTGAGTCGTGCGCTGTGATGCCTGCCATGTGAGTCGTGCGCTGTGATGCCTGCCATGTGAGTCGTGCGCTGTGATGCCTGCCATGTGAGTCGTGCGCTGTGATGCCTGCCATGTGAGTCGTGCGCTGTGATGCCTGCCATGTGAGTCGTGCGCTGTGATGCCTGCCATGTGAGTCGTGCGCTGTGATGCCTGCCATGTGAGTCGTGCGCTGTGATGCCTGCCATGTGAGTCGTGCGCTGTGATGCCTGCCATGTGAGTCGTGCGCTGTGATGCCTGCCATGTGAGTCGTGCGCTGTGATGCCTGCCATGTGAGTCGTGCGCTGTGATGCCTGCCATGTGAGTCGTGCGCTGTGATGCCTGCCATGTGAGTCGTGCGCTGTGATGCCTGCCATGTGAGTCGGGCGCTGTGATGCCTGCCATGTGAGTCGTGCGCTGTGATGCCTGCCATGTGAGTCGTGCGCTGTGATGCCTGCCATGTGAGTCGTGCGCTGTGATGCCTGCCATGTGAGTCGTGCGCTGTGATGCCTGCCATGTGAGTCGTGCGCTCTGATGCCTGCCATGTGAGTCGTGCGCTGTGATGCCTGCCATGTGAGTCGTGCGCTGTGATGCCTGCCATGTGAGTCGTGCGTTGTGATGCCTACCATGTGAGTCGTGCGCTGTGATGCCTGCCATGTGAGTCGTGCGCTGTGATGCCTGCCATGTGAGTCGTGCGCTGTGATGCCTGCCATGGGAGTCGTGCGCTGTGATGCCTGCCATGTGAGTCGTGCGCTGTGATGCCTGCCATGTGAGTCGTGCGCTGTGATGCCTGCCATGTGAGTCGTGCGCTGTGATGCCTGCCATGTGAGTCGTGCGCTGTGATGCCTGCCATGTGAGTAGTGCGCTGTGATGCCTGCCATGTGAGTCGTGCGCTGTGATGCCTGCCATGTGAGTCGTGCGCTGTGATGCCTGCCATGTGAGTCGTGCGCTGTGATGCCTGCCATGTGAGTCGTGCGCTGTGATGCCTGCCATGTGAGTCGTGCGCTGTGATGCCTGCCATGTGAGTCGTGCGCTCTGATGCCTGCCATGTGAGTCGTGCGCTGTGATGCCTGCCATGTAAGTGACGAGAGCACGGTCAATGCAGACACCATCATCACCATAACTACACCATGCCAACGCCATGCCATGCCACGCCATCCACCCCATTCCATGCCACGCCATGCCATGCCATGGCCAGCAGAGCAGCACGCACCCAGTCACAGATGTGCGTGCGCTGCCCATCCACATGCTCGTAGGGCGCAGGCCACCCCGTGAGCAGCTGCAGCAGCAGCACGCCCACGCTGCCGGGTGCACACCGAAAGCACGGGGAGGAGGGGCGAAAGGGTGGGCGGTAGGGAGGGCGAAAGCATGGGGCGGACGGAGGGCTCAAGGCTGGGTGAATGAATAGCAGCTGCATCAGCAGCACCTCAACCCGCCTCACCCCGCATCACCCGCCTCACCTGAACATGTCTGCGGTGGCGGAGGCAATGCCGGTGTGCAGCACAGCAGGGTCCACATGCCCCTCCGTGCACCGCAACACTACCACTCGCCACCCTCCACTGCCATTGCTGCTGCCACTCCACATGCTGCTTTCCCTCCAACTCCCAGTGCTGCCACTATTGCTGCTGCTACCACTCGTGCTGCTGCTACCACTCGTGCTGCTGCTACCACTCTTGCTGCTGCTGCCACTCGTGCTGCTGCTGCCACTCTTGCTGCTGCTGCCACTCTTGCTACTGCTCCCAGTGCTGCCACTCATGCCACCCTCATTGTCAACGCCTTCCCCACTCCCGCTCCTCCAGGAACCTTCCGGACACCCGCCCAGGCCTTTGTCGTTGCCGTTGCCCATGCCCATGTCCACGTGCACGCGCTGCCCCATGCGCACCGCACTCCAGTCGCCCACCCGTGCCTGGCAGGGTGGGTAAGGAAGGGGCGAGTGAGAGAGGAGAGGAACCGCGCCTGAATTGATTCTGTCAGAATAGAAGCTAAATTATGAAGGCGGTCAGCCTTGAGCACAGACAGAGGTGGGTTGAGAAAAGGACGGGAAAGGATGGCTCAGAAATCCGACCAAATTGCCAATGATAAGTTGGCAGATTGATTGGATTTTGAGGGAATTCCAACCTGGATACGGTTGGGATAACAGATCTGCACCTGAATTACAACGCAACCTACTCAATGTAGAAGAGAGTACACAAATTGTTGGCAGCCTAATTTGAACACAGCCCCCAGGCTGCAACATGTGAGGCATGGGGCGAGTGAATTCCCAACCATGAGACATAAGCAGGCGGTGGAGGCCCTGGTGGCCAAGGGCCTTGCTGATGCGGCTGCTCAGGTTGCAATCGGACGGCCTTGAGCTGCCCACGCTGGGCTAGCTCACACGGAGACTAGTGGCGGTCTTTGGTGAGGTGAATGGTGCTCTCATTGTCACAGAGGGTGGTGTGGGCATTGTAAGTGTGGGCTGAGGAAGCCACGGAATAATGTCAGCCAAGGGGCTTCGTGAGCAGCCATGGTGCCGGCATAAAGCTCGGGCTCACACGAGGACAGAGAGATGGAAGACGGTCGAATAGAACGGCAGCTCACAGCCCCGTTACCAACACGGTACCCTTGTGAATCGCGGTGAGCACTCAAGTCATGAGCCCATGAAGAGTCACTGTGATCCTCAATGCGAGCGAAGGGGATCCCCTGAGAGTGACATGATGCTGAGTCGCTACAAGATCACCAAGGATCCGCCTGGCAGCGGTTCAATGCTGGAGAGTGAAGCGAGCAGGAGCAATGTGGCGTAAGAGTAGGCCAGATCGGGTCGAGTGCACATCAGTGCACAGGTGAGAGATCCTACGAGCGCAGCATAGGGCTCGTCACCAGGCAAAGGTGAAGAACTGAAGGTGCAGTGAGTTGCTGCTAGGGCGTATTCCTGACTTCGGGTCATCCGCTCTTTGGGTCCTCCCGAAATTATTTTCCCGAACCGCGGGATTTCCGACTCGAGCTTCGGACTTTCCGATTCGGGACACGGCGAGATTCGGTGTACGAAATGGCTCGAGCACATTGGAGATGTGAGACTCGAGCACATTGGAGATGTGAGACTCGAGCACATTGGAGATGTGAGACTCGAGCGAAAGATCGATGGTTGGCCAACTTGTCATGATCCTTCATGGCGAGCCTTTCGCCTACAAGCAGTTCAAACATGACGGCAGGCAACTCCTCCGACTCCTAGAAGCCAGGAGTCATATCACCCACACGCACTTGAAGCCGTCTCACTGAGGAGTCACATTGAAATGTCACCTGGAAGTCACCTGGAAGTCACTTGGAAGTCACTTGGAAGTCACTTGGAGCAGGGCAGAGCACGCACCTCCCAGGCGGCAGAGAGCATGACGTTGGAGGGCTTGAGGTCGCCGTGCACCCGCCCGTGGCTCTGCACCGCCTTGAGCGCCCTCAGCACGCCCGCTGTGATGCCCACCCGCTGCCGCAGCGACACCGGGCTGACGCCTGCCTGTGCGGCTGATTCGGGACGCACAAGGGAGGTGAGGCGTGGGGGAGGGACATGGCACATGAGGGTTGTGGGCGGAATGGGGTTTTGCTGTGCGGGGTCAACAAAGAAAGAGAAAACAGTTCACAAGGGAAGGAAGCGAGTCCACTGCTGCATGCAAACGCTGCTGCAGCAACGCTGGGGATTGGGTGGCTGAACCGCCTCGGGAGGAAGGAAGGTGGAGCGCGAGCGAGGAGAAAACAAGGAGAACAACAAGTGGCGGTTGCGAGTGGAGGGGGAGTGGCATGGTGTTGTGAGAGGAGAGGAGAGGGAAGGAGCGGAAGGGAGACGAGAGGAGAGAGGAGAGGAAAGGAGAGAAAACTGGTGAGCGCACCTGTCACTGTGAGCACGCACCTGTTTGCAGCAGCGCCTGCACGCTGCCCCTCTCCATCCATTCGTACACCAACACCTGCCCTCCCCCACCCCCCCTGCCCGCCCCCTCCCTCTCCCCCATTCCGCCCCTCCTGCACGCCCTCCTCCCGCACACCCCCCTGCCCTGCATCGTGCAGCCTCTCGCTGTCACCCTCACCCGGCCAGCAGCAGCACCCCACGAGGCGGAGCACGTTGGGGTGTCTCAGGCGCGCCAAGGCAGCCGCGTGGGCCTCCATTGACGCCCACTGCGCCCCCTCTCCTCTCATGCGCTTCACTGCCCACTCGCCCCCCCGCCCCCGCACCCTCCCCCTCCCTGCACGCACCCCCTGCTTTCTCTCCCACCCTTTCCCCACCTCTCCCCCTTCCGGCTTCCCTTCTCCTTCTGTTCCAGTCGCATCATCCTTCTCCCCCTTGGCCCCGTCCGCACCCTTTTCCCCCTCCCCTTCCTCCCCCCACTCCCCCCATTCCCCCCAGTACACGTCACTCCACCTGCCTCCCCCCACCCTCCGCCCCGCTGCCCACCCATTGGTGGCCCTGATGACGTCAGCAAGGGGAATGTGCGGGCAGGGGGGGTTGTGCTTGGGCATGGTTGCAGCTGGAAGGGGAACGGGGGGATGGGAGAAAGGGGGAATGAGAGGAGGTTGGGGCGGGGGGCATATGGGCAGTCAAGGAAGGAAGGAAGGAAGGAAGAGGGGTGGCGCTGTTGAAAAGGAGGTTTAGGGAAACCACATGAAACGAGGAGAAGTGAAGCGCTCTCTTTCCACACACACACACACACACACACACACACACACACACACACACACACACACACACACACACACACAGACACACACACACCCAGCAAGAAGGGGGCAGCATGGCACACAGACACCACAAACACATACAGATACAGACACCCACCGCCCCACCCACACTCACACACTTTCTTCCCCCCCTCCCACACACATCGGCTCACCCAACAAACCCATGGCAACGTAGAATCACATGCCCCTCCACATGCCCCTCCACATGCCCCTCCACATGCCCCTCCACATGCCCCTCCACATGCCCCTCCACATGCCCCTCCACATACCCCACTGCATGCCCCACCACATACCCCACCGCATACCCCACTGCATGCCCCACCACATACCCCACCGCATGTCAGCGCAGCACAGCGTCACATGGCCCACAACAAGGCACACCCATCACATTGCAGGCCCTCTTCTTTTTCCCCCCCTGCACTCTCCTCTCCCCCCTCTCCCCACCCACTCACTCATATCTTCCCCCTTCCGCGTTTGCCCCTGCCTCCACTGCCACAGCCCCCAACCCCCCCCCACCACTGCCAGCAGCAGCAGCAGCAGTAGCACCGCACCCGTTGCTGCCCCCGCAATCGTGGATGGTGAGAGGGAGGAGGGGAGAAGGAGGGGAGGAGGAGGGGAAGCGAGGAGGGCCGTGATGATAGGGGGAGGCGGTGGGGGAGAGGGGGATGGCGGAGGGGGCGGAGGGGAAGGGGGAGGCGGCCTGGTGATTGGTGCTGGGAGGGATACGATTCGGGGATGGGATGAGGGGGTGGGGTGATGGATGGGTGGCCGATGGGATAGGGGATGGGTGGGCAGGTTTTAGTAAGCAAGCATTAGACTAGTGAACACACAGATAAATTGGAGGAGTAGACTAGGGAAGCATAGAATCGGGTCGGGTCGGGACGGGTCGACCAATCATGACTAAGTGAGCAGAAAGGCAGGGGAAGATTGGAGGGGTAAATTCGGGGAGCTAAAGAGGGGGAGCACGTGGCGTGGACGACAAAAGCAAGGCCAAGTGCATGGTTGGTTGGTTGGCATGATCCTGACCGTTGATGGGGGTACACATGGAGCAGAAAGTCGAGCAGATCCTGCAAAAGATGGATGAACGGTTGAGATTCATTCCACAGCTACCCTCTGCTGGGCAAAGCACGGTGCTAGGAACCTGACTGAAAGATGATGCACACAGAGGGCAGATGGGCACACAGAGGGCAGATGGGCACACAGAGGGCAGATGGGCACACAGAGGGCAGATGGGCACACAGAGGGCAGATGGGCACACAGAGGCAGTGTCAGCTCATCATCCTTTCTGTCTCTCTTATATGGGGCTATAATGCTTGGTAATAGTTAGGCACCCAAACTCTTTAGAGCGGGTCGGCGGCGGTCGTAGGCTAGGGGAGGAATCGCCCTTAGCTTGATCGATCTTTGGGTTTGAACCAGCCTTAAGCTCTGAGCTGCTCGGCAGATCAGGGTGATACACTTTCGATCGTCGATTTTTAAGCGATTTATCCGAGGGCTGCCGCCCCTGCCACGCAGAAATCCGACTAATGCGGAACGCATTCTGTGGCAGGCCTTAATCAAGGACAGCCGTTTTGCTAGGGTTGCGGGTCAGAGATTATTTGGACCCCCCCAGTCTTTGCAAGCCAAGTCATTGCTTGGTGCGACGCAGTAATCATGGCCAACCACCCGTTATTGCTCCCTCTAAAAGGTACAACTCCAATCATTCAGTCTAAACTGGGGTTCTTCTGCATGATTGTCACAGGTATATCATGTGAAGGCTGTGCCATATGTGACAGGCACTCATGGCCTGCCTCGAGGGTCGTTCGAGATAAGAGATAGAAACATGTTATTGTATATATGTATATACATTCGAGTATGTGGTGAAGGAGGAGGAAATCGTACAAGGAGTAAAGATTCGTGAGAGCTCCAAAAGCAGCAGGGATGGTTCCTTGAAGCTTCGTATCAGACAATTCACTGAGTGGAATGCGGGCGGGAAAGTGAGACAAAGGGGAGCAAGGAGGAGGGGCGGCAGAGACCAACCAGACCAGCGGAAGGTGAGAGTGAAGTGAGGCGAGGGAGACAAGAAGCATGGGAGGGCATTGAGTGGGTTGTTGAAAGGCACGGACATGGCAGGCAGGAGGTGGACGCCACACCCGCAGGATGGGCAGGAGAGGGCGGAGGGCGGCGCAGAGGTTGGGAAGGGGAGGAAAAGAGGGCAGGGGAGGAAAAGGGGGCAGGGGAGGAAAAGGGGGCAGGGGAGGAAAAGGGGGCAGGGGAGGAAAAGGGGGCAAGGGAGGAAAAGGGGGCAGGGGAGGAAACGGGGGCAGGGGAGGAAAAGGGGGCAGGGGAGGAAAAGGGGGCAGGGGAGGAAAAGGGGGCAGGGGAGGAAAAGGGGGCAGGGGCGGAAAAGGGGGCAGGGGCGGAAAAGGGGGCAGGGGCGCACAGGGTGGAGAGGCGAGTGAGGGCGGCGAGGAAGCGCGGCACGTGGCCCGATATGGCCGTGCCTCCTAGTAGCCTGGTGGGGGCGCGCACCCCATGGGCACGCGGGCAGGGGGAGCGGGGAATATGGAAGGGGGGGGAAGGGGGAGGGGGGAAGGGGAAGGAGGGGGGGGGAGAAGGGGGGATGGGGAGGGGAGGGGGGAGAAGGGGGAAGCGGAAGGGGGAAGGGGGAAGGGTGGGAATGGGAAAGATGGCATAAGAGAAGGGGATGAGGCATGGCACGAAAAAAGGGGATGCTGAAAGCATGGGAGAGGGACAGGACTTGGCAGGGATGAGAGATGCGGAGGGGAGTGCGGCGAAATGGGAGGGACGGCGGGCGGGAGAGAGCAGTTGCGGGATGAGATGGAGCAGCACAGGTGCTGTAGGGGGCAGCGATGCAGAATGGTGAGAGATGGTACAGGGCGGTGAAGAGTCAAATGCGAGAAACGCAGGAGGAGGGACAGAGCGGATGGTGGGGAAGGAGGGAGGGGAGGGGAGGGGACGGGAGGGGAGGGGAGGGCAGGGGAGGGGAGGGGAGGGCAGGGGAGGGGAGGGCAGGGGAGGGGAGGGCAGGGGAGGGGAGGGCAGGGGAGGGGAGGGCAGGGGAGGGGAGGGCAGGGGAGGGGAGGGCAGGGGAGGGGAGGGCAAGGGAGGATGTGGGAGGGGAGGGCAGGGGAGGGGAGGGCAGGGGAGGGGAGGGCAGGGGAGGGGAGGGCAGGGGAGGGGAGGGCAGGGGAGGGGAGGGCAGGGGAGGGGAGGGCAGGGGAGGGAGGGCAGGGAGGGGAGGGCAGGGGAGGGGAGGGCAGGGGAGGGGAGGGCAGGGGAGGGGAGGGCAGGGGAGGGGAGGGCAGGGGAGGGGAGGGCAGGGGAGGGGAGGGCAGGGGAGGGGAGGGCAGGGGAGGGGAGGGCAGGGGAGGGGAGGGCAGGGGAGGGGAGGGCAGGGGAGGGGAGGGCAGGGGAGGGGAGGGCAGGGGAGGGGAGGGCAGGGGAGGGGAGGGCAGGGGAGGGGAGGGCAGGGGAGGGGAGGGCAGGGGAGGGGAGGGCAGGGGAGGGGAGGGCAGGGGAGGGGAGGGCAGGGGAGGGGAGGGCAGGGGAGGGGAGGGCAGGGGAGGGGAGGGCAGGGGAGGGGAGGGCAGGGGAGGGGAGGGCAGGGGAGGGGAGGGCAGGGGAGGGGAGGGCAGGGGAGGGGAGGGCAGGGGAGGGGAGGGCAGGGGAGGGGAGGGCAGGGGAGGGGAGGGCAGGGGAGGGGAGGGCAGGGGAGGGGAGGGCAGGGGAGGGGAGGGCAGGGGAGGGGAGGCAGGGGCAGGGGAGGGGAGGGCAGGGGAGGGGAGGGAGGGGAGGGGAGGGCAGGGGAGGGGAGGGCAGGGGAGGGGAGGGGAGGGAGGGGAGGGCAGGGAGGGGAGGGGAGGGGCAGGGGAGGGGAGGGCAGGGGAGGGAGGCAGGGGAGGGGAGGGCAGGGGAGGGGAGGGCAGGGGAGGGGAGGGCAGGGGAGGGGAGGGCAGGGGAGGGGAGGGAGGGGAGGGCGAGGGCAGGGGAGGGGAGGGCAGGGGAGGGGAGGGCAGGGGAGGGAGGGCAGGGGAGGGGAGGGCAGGGGAGGGGAGGGCAGGGGAGGGGAGGGCAGGGAGGGGAGGGCAGGGGAGGGGAGGGCAGGGGAGGGGAGGGCAGGGGAGGGGAGGGCAGGGGAGGGGAGGGCAGGGGAGGGGAGGGCAGGGGAGGGGAGGGCAGGGGAGGGGAGGGCAGGGGAGGGGAGGGCAGGGGAGGGGAGGGCAGGGAGGGAGGGCAGGGGAGGGGAGGGCAGGGGAGGGGAGGGCAGGGGAGGGGAGGGCAGGGGAGGGGGCAGGGAGGGAGGGCAGGGAGGAGGGCAGGGGAGGGGAGGGCAGGGGGAGGGGCGAGGGGCAGGGGAGGGGAGGGCCTGACAGCTGCTGGAGGGTGGTGAGGCGGGAGAGGGCGTGAGGCAGGGAGCCCGTGAGGTAGGGGTTCTGACTGAGCACCCTGCCATGCATGCGGTGGTGGGGAATGGGAGAGGACGGGCACGGTTAAGGAGGAGTGCTTTCCCCTGTGTCCTCTCCCTGTGCAATCCTGCAGCACGCACGGGCCAAGAGCAGCAGATGTGGGCAGAAGCAGATGTGGGCAGAAGCAGAGCAGCAAAGGAGAGCAGAATCAGAAAAACTGAGGGGGGCAAGAGCAGAGCAGCAGAGGGGGGGAGAAGTACAGTAAGGGAAAACAAGAGAAGAGGGTGTGGGAGCGCTCAAGCACAGCACCTCATCTCATGCTCTTGAAAACACTCAGACATTGGTCTCTCATACTAGGTCTCAAAGGTGCCGAGAGGCGTGTGCGACTCACAAGTACTTGAGGCGCGAAAGGGCTGCAATACTGGACGGGATGCTCCCTGTGATGCCGTTGGATGGCGCGTACCTGGTGGCGGGTGGTGGTGGGTGGTGGTGGGTGGTGGTGCGTGGTGATGGGTGGTGATGGGTGGTGGACCATGGGGTATGGGACGGGAGGGACGATGGGTGTTGCAATGGAGGGATGCATGCAAGGAGAGCAAGAGAGAGGATAAAAGCATGCAAGGAGAGCAAGAGAAAGGATACAAGCATGCTGATGGCATGCAAGATGCGGCAGATGTGCGGTGTGGATGGTTACCATGTTACGAGGTCAAGGAAATGCAGATCAGACAAAGTGCAAGGGAGAGAGGCGGTGGTTACATGTACTGAAGGGCTGTGAGGGCAGCGATGGTGTCGGGCAGCGGGCCTGAGAGGCCAGTGTATCCCATGCTCCTGTGGCAGACCAGGGAAGGACGGGTGGCGTTGCAAGCAGTGGAATGGGCATGGGGTGGGATGGGATGGAATGGGATGGGTTGGGATGGGATGTGTACAGCAAGGGAGAGGCGTATGGGAAGGGAGAGGCGTACGGGAAGGGAGGCGTACGGGAAGGGAGGCGTACGGCTAAGTTGCGGAAGACGCTAGACGCATGGGGGAAAATTTTCGGGCAGCCCGAAAAAAAAAACCGCGCGAGCGAAATTGAATTCCGCCTTTCGATGCGAAATTCAATTTCGCGACATTACAACCCCCCGCCCCACCCATTTCGACCATAACAAAAAACAGCCCCCCCAACCAAGTTTTGTTAACCCCTAACCTAAATATCAACCCCAAAGCTCTTGTTTCTAACCACCACCAAAAGTATTTAGGAGCGGAACCACCTCATCTGTGCTCATATCTAGTTCAACTCAATTCTCCTTCAAAATCCTCAACCCTTTTTGCCAAAATGTGTGCAATGTCCTTCTCCCCCCCTCCCCATGCCCCATAGAACGTTTTTTTGGCTGGAAGTACTTTTTTTTTGCTTGCCCGGGCTTGTGTCTATCCCAGCGTCTAATCTGCCCAAGACGCGCGTCTAGCGTCTTAGACTCTTCTGCAACTTAGGCGTACGGGAAGGGAGAGGCGTACAGGAAGGAGAGGGCTGTGAGATGGCTGATTTCTCGCGGCAGTGGTGTGTGCAAGTTGTTAAAATCCATTTCTCTGGACGCATGTTGGGCGGGACGGGAAAGGAGAGTGGAGGCATAGGAGGTAAGGGAGGGCCATGCGCGGGAGGGAGGGCATGCATGGGAGGGAGGGCATGCATGGGAGGGGAAGGGGATGGGTTGGAGGGGAGGGGCAATAGGAGAAAGGACACAGGAAAAGGCGAAAGTGGAAAGGACCAAAAGGGCGGAGTGGGTAGGAGGGCAGTTAGCTGAGGAGAGCAAGAGACAGGAAGTGGCGGTAGTAGCGAGCAACGAAGTGAGACGCGAGCGAGGGAGGTGGTGAGGGAGGAGGAGAGGGAGATGGTAGCAGTAATAGGCATATCTCATCTGCTCTCACTACTTGAACTGTACCCGTTCTGATTCAATATAAGGACCATTTGAGAGGGAGTGAGGGAGAGAGGGAGGCGCGGGGAGCTGACAGAAGCGCAAGTCGGTGCAGGCGTGAGATGGCTGGTAAGACGGGCCCTGTGAAGCGATTGCTGTACAACGAACTGGTGCGGCGAGGGGGGTTAGATGACGGGGGAAGGGGGGGTCAGCTGGGTGGGTTGAATGTCAACCACAGACGATGATGCTGCGAGGGATGGGATGGGAGTAGGAGTATAAGGAACAGAAAGCAGGGCTAGGCAGAGACGATGTGAGGCGAGCAGAGATTATGGGAATGAGAAGAGAGGGATGGAGGAGGAGGGTGAAGTGAAGAGAAGCATGGTGGGGAGAGCAAGAGAGGAACGGGAGAAGGCGAAGGGCAGTGTGATGGTGCAGCATGTGCGGATGAGATCCCGAAGACTGTCATTCCATGTGATGCCTCACCCGCTCCACACCACATCACAAAGCAAACACGATTGCAAGGCAACAAAAAGGATGGCAGGTTGGATACAGGGAGACAAGGGATGGCAGGTTGGATACAGGGAGACAAGGGATGGCAGGTTGGATACAGGGAGACAAGGGATGGCAGGTTGGATACAGGGAGACAAGGGATGGCAGGTTGGATACAAGGAGACAAGGGATGGCAGGTTGGATACAGGGAGACAAGGGATGGCAGGTTGGATACAGGGAGACAAGGGATGGCAGGTTGGATACAGGGAGACAAGGGATGGCAGGTTGGATACAGGGAGACAAGGGATGGCAGGTTGGATACAAGGAGACAAGGGATGGCAGGTTGGATACAGGGAGACAAGGGATGGCAGGTTGGATACAGGGAGACAAGGGATGGCAGGTTGGATACAAGGAGACAAGGGATGGCAGGTTGGATACAGGGAGACAAGGGATGGCAGGTTGGATACAAGGAGACAAGGGATGGCAGGTTGGATACAGGGAGACAAGGGATGGCAGGTTGGATACAGGGAGACAAGGGATGGCAGGTTGGATACAGGGAGACAAGGGATGGCAGGTAGGATACAGGGAGACAAGGGATGGCAGGTTGGATACAGGGAGACAAGGGATGGCAGGTTGGATACAGGGAGACAAGGGATGGCAGGTTGGATTAGGGATGAGCAAGTGGCGAACACGAACGTGTTCGTGTTCGCCCCTACACGAACACCTTCGTTTGCGGAACCGAACACTGTTCGGTTCGGCGAACACTTTGAGCAAAAAATGGTGTTCGCCGTTCGCCTGTGAAGGCGTGTTCGGGCGAACCTCGAACACTGTTCGTGTTCGTCGCGGGCAAATTGCAGCAGCTGCCCGAACACGAACGTGTTCGGGCGAACATCGAACACTGTTCGGCGAACATTTTAAGCCAAAAAAAAAAACCTGTTCGGTTCGCCTCGAACGTGTTCGAGGCGAACCGAACAGGTGTTCGTGTTTTTGCTCAACCCTAGGTTGGATACAGGGAGACAAGGGATGGCAGGTTGGATACAGGGAGACAAGGGATGGCAGGTTGGATACAGGGAGACAAGGGATGGCAGGTTGGTAACGACTTCGAAAATAGGGCCGGTGAAATTGTTGCTGCTTAGAGTTCTGCATGTGTGTTCACACACACACACACACACACACACACACACACACACACACACACACACACACACATACACACACACGCATGCGCAAACATAAACAGTTACACACACATGCACACACACAGTCACACACGCGCGCGCGCGCGGGCACGTGCGCACACACACACACAAGCGCGCATGCGTATCCCCTTCCCCCCACGCGCACACACACACAGAAGCACACACATACGCGCGCGCGCATACTCTCTCTCTCTCTCTCTCACACACACACACACACACACACACACACACACACACACGCACACACACGCACACACACGAAAAAGGGAATGAGCGACCTTCCATCAGCGCGTGCCTACAGAGAGCAGAAGATGACCAGCAGCGAGCAGAAGATGACCAGCAGAGAGCAGAAGATGACCAGCAGCTGGCTCGCTCCCCTCACGCATCCTCAACTCAAGCCCTCATCCCATCGCTTGGGGCAGTGCGCCTCACAGGGGGCAGTGCGCCTCACAGGGGGCAGTGCGCCTCACAGGGGGCAGTGCGCCTCACAGGGGGCAGTGCGCCTCACAGGGGGCAGTGCGCATCACAGGGGGCAGTGCGCCTCACAGGGGGCAGTGCGCCTCACAGGGGGCAGTGCGCATCACAGGGGGCAGTGCGCCTCACAGGGGGCAGTGCGCCTCACAGGGGGCAGTGCGCCTCACAGGGGGCAGTGCGCCTCACAGGGGGCAGTTCGCCTCACAGGGGGCAGTGCGCCTCACAGGGGGCAGTGCGCCTCACAGGGGGCAGTGCGCCTCACAGGGGGCAGTTCGCCTCACAGGGTGCGCAGGCGGGCGAGAGTGGAGAGGGCGGGCGGCAGAGGTCCCGACAATTGGTTGCTGCGCACATTACTGCGCGCCTCGCGTACACGAGGGCGAGGGGGGTGGAAGGGGGGGTATGGTGGGTTATGGGTGGAGGTGGGCAGAGCATGAGAGCGAGAAGGCAAAGGAGTCGGGTGGAGTGGAGACGGGTGGAGTGGAGTCGGGTGGAGTGGAGACGGGTGGAGTGAGCAGACAAGAGAGCGACGGGGCGGGGTGACTGACAGGGAGTGGAGGCGGGAGAGGGCGGAGAGGGCGAAGGGCAGGGAGCCGGTGAGATTCCTCTGCGCCACGTCCCTGGCCATGGCGCAGGGGGAGGCGGGTGGAGAGATGTACGTGGGGGGTTGGTGGCAGGCGAGATGTACGTGGGGGGTTGGTGGCAGGCGAGATGTATGTGGGGGGTTGGTGGCAGGCGAGAGCCGGTTGAGCAAGAGCCGTGGCCATGGCCATGGCGTGATGAAGCAAGAACAGTAGCGGTGGGGGGGGGGGGGGGGGGAGGAGGGATAAGTGCGTGCGCATGAGAGCGGTGCGTGTTGGCACGGCATGCACGTGGTGCGGCTCTCCATGCAATCTTGCCCTCGCCTCTCGCGCTCATACCCCTCGCGCCTCCACCCACACGCGACTTGAATGCCCCTGCTCCTCCCTTTCGCCCCATCGCACTCACAACCACGGCACGGCACCGAGCCCTCGCACGCACAGCGCCCACCATGCATCCCGTGCGCTCCCCCACTCACAGTGACGTCACCATGCCATCGCCATCGCATGTGATGGCCTGCGCCTGCGCGCACTCCGCGCCCCGCGCCCACCCCGTCGCGCTCATCCCCCACTCCGCCGCACACTCCTTCAGCGCCGCCGCTGCCAGCCGATCGTGCGGGCCGTGGGGCGGAGAGGCACGGGGGACAGCGGGAATGCGGAAGGTGAGAGAGGGGGAGTGGGAGGGGGAAGAGGCCAAGAGGCTCCTGCGAGAGAAAGAGCAGTGGCCGTCAATGCGAGAGTTCAGTCTTCCGCGCCTGCAGCGCCGAGAGGAGCGCTGGTGCAGGGAAAGCGAGAGCGGGACGGCGGGCTCCATGGTGAATCGTTGCAAGCTCCGTGAGGGCAAAGCAGTGCGGGAGAGTGGGAGAGAACGAGATTATGCCGCGAATGGCAGGGGGATGACCAACACGGCACGAATTCACTTTGCCGCGAGAGCTGCGCGAGTATACGTCTCTTGAATACCTCGCGCTGCGATCGACCGCACCTTGGGAGTCGGCGAGAATCACGGGCTGGACTACACGTGCCAGGAAAGCGACGACGAGCGTCGCTAGCCACGGAATGGCGGCTGCGACGATCCGCGACGGCGACCGACTACCCGGCCTCGCATGGCCCATTTCGTTACAAGCTGTTGGAACGCAACGCGGCGTTGGAACTCGCGGCGCGACTCAAGTCGACTCAGGAATCAACGCACGAACCTCAGATCTACTCGAACTCACACCGCCATAGTCACCATCTCGTCCGTCGCGTGTTACTTTCAAGTGCAGTGAAGCATCAATTGCTTCATTGCCTTTCCCTTGCGACCATTCTTTCGCCTCTCCTACCTGTCTTTCCATGCGTGGTTGCAGATCGCAACTGTTGCGCGGTGGTTGAGATAGTTGAGAATTTTGAGTTTCGATCCTTCTCCGCACAGTAACCTCCCGTGACGTCTGTCGAATCCACAGAGCCAGCTATAAAACCCTGTCCGAAAACGAGCCTGAGGGCGATTTATTGATTCCGAGAACGCCGCGATCGCCATTTGCGGCGTATGGCAAGGAACGGGGAAGTGTTGGAGAGGCGAGTCTTTGCTGTTCCACAACCGAGGCTTGGCGAAATTGTCAGAAACCGAAGCTGGCCTTGTCGGTAGCCAGATCTATCATTAATGAAGCGACTCGCAACAGTTTAACAGTATCCGAACATGGCTCGCTACAGTGGGGTAAAAATATGCCTATCTGTTCAATCTAGTGACCAAGCAAAGATTGCACAACAGAAGTAATTAGAGACGTCGAATTGTTAAATAGCGAAACAAGATGGTGTCAGTAATGAATGGAATGTGGTGTCCTACGGGCCAAGCTAGAGGTTGGGAATTGTGAAGCCATATCTCATCGTTAGAACCGCGGAATGTGCGTAACTAGCAATTTGAAAGAACCCTAGAAAGTGTTGTACTCCTTACCGCTATAATCACTATTACAACCATAATAGGACTTTGTTGTTGGGCCGAGAAAAGCACTTACGATCGCTTTCAATCACTAAGGTTCAGAGTGATGTATTAGCGGAAGCGACTTAATGAAATACTGATTGAACCACCTTATACTGGTGTGTGAGAAAAAAATGAGTTGAATAATAGCATAGAGCAGGGCTGAAGTTTCATTTTAAGCCTCCCTGATTCCAGGGAAAATTTCCCCCTTGTATTATGGGTGCATATTTTCCACAGGTAGGCTACTCTGATTGCTCAATGTTGAAAAGTAGTTAACTCTTATTGCTCAGGGTCGAGAAATGAACATCAATGTAGTAATGCGCTATGTGTTTAACGGGGAAAAGAGTTTCACTCCGCATGATCCCAACACAATTCGACATCATTTCGTACAATTTTTCTAACGGGCAGATAATCATATAAACCACCACGAGTCACACATCCAAATCCTGCACAACGTAATTTGTTTATATTTTGACCGCGATCGTTCTCACCGGCTAATGTTGGTCGTTGGGGTCCACCAACCTGGTCAAACTTTTGTGTCTTTTGCACGCACACTGCGGCAACCCCTTGTTGCCGATCGTTCTGCTCAGGCATCGCCACGGTGTCAGACCAGCAAGTTGCTTTTGGGCTAACATGCCCCAAGGCTCCTCCGAACCTCGCTCCCCAAAAACCTGCATTTCTGCTGCTGAACAAGGCCAAGGACAAGAGATTCACTGTGACACAGCAGATCTGCTGCGTCAGAGGTGTTCTGCCGAAAATCCCCGCAGCACGCTGCGCTTCGCACGACTCCACAAGATCTACCCCACCCCTCCTTCCCCCCCAAACATCCACCCCACGTTGTGGGGTGTCACTTGTCGGTATTACCGTACAGAAAGGGCTCCCCACATCGGTAAAGGGGAAATCATGATTACACACATGGGGGGTTATCGAGATGAAATTTCCGGGAGACTTCGTCTCGATACTCTCGCATTCAGGGTCCACAGAACGCGTACTCTACATTGACAGAGTCAGTAAAAACACTACTTTGAGCCTAAATACAATATTTCAGGGTTCGCTAAAGCACTATTCTGAATGGATCAGAGTTCACAAGTAAGAAATTCTGAAATTGCAGGGACCACCATGTGAGAAGCCTGTAATATCGAGAAGTAAAGTTTAAACTAGGGCCTAGGCTTAGGAGCCTAGGCCCAACTATGATATTGGGTGAAATCGGGCCAAGGGAGGAGAGTCGAGTGAGTTGAGAAGGAATGGGAATGATGAGTGTTCACTTAGCACAAGGGTACATATAGCGAACAAATGAAGAGGTGCACCACCTACAAATTTAATATCTACACTACAGCTAGAACTACATGCAGTTATAACAACATAATTCTGACATCCCCCCGTAACTGCATGCAGAAATAGCTAAGTGCAGAACACAACCTGCAGAGGTACACCACAGAATAATAAACAAGCAACAGCAGGTACTGCAGGCGGGCTAACTCTGGCTGGTTACCCCCTCCATCACCTCACCTTCCTCCTTCCCCTCCCCCACACTGCTGCAGGAGCAGCAGAGAGCGGGGGAAGAGAGGAGAGGTGGAGGGACGGCTGCTGGTTGCCTCACACCCGCCACCCCGGTGCCACTCCCCCTGCTCCCCCACACCCTCACACCCTCCCCACCAGCGGCAGATGCAGCAGTGGGAACGAAAGGAGGAGGAGGGGAAGGGAAGTGAACGACCCAACACTCCAACACCCGCCACCCCCAACCCTCCCCCCCACGGCTGCAGGGAGACAAAGGAGGAGGGGGTGGGCGGGAAGAAAGCCGCAGAGCGGCTACAATGTGTCGGTGCAGGTAGCTCAGGGGCGGCTGAATGGAGAGCGGGTGCGAAGAGGCCCGTCGCGTGCCACGGGGCGCACGATGGGTAAGTTTAAGTGTAGGGCCCGATCGTGTGCCTCGGGGCGCACGACGAGCAGGGCACCGTCGCGTGCCACGGGGCGCACGACGGGCAGGTTTAGGGCACCGTCGCGTGCCACGGGGCGCGCGACGGGCAGATAAGGAGTCACACGCCAACCGGGGGCGGGACAAGGGAAAATCGCCATGCGCCCTAGGCGCGCGACCGGAAAAAAAAGGTAGCAGCGGGAGCATGAGGCGGGCCCACAGGCCAAGTCGTAACGCGCTCTGATAGCATATCGAGAAGTAAAGTTTAAACTAGGGCCTAGGCTTAGGAGCATAGGCCCAACTATGATATTGGGTGAAATCGGGCCAAGGGAGGAGAGTCGAGTGAGTTGAGAAGGAATGGGAATGATGAGTGTTCACTTAGCACAAGGGTACATATAGCGAACAAATGAAGAGGTGCACCACCTACAAATTTAATATCTACACTACAGCTAGAACTACATGCAGTTATAACAACATAATTCTGACATGTAATCGCCCTGAAATCAGGGTAATTACCCTGATAAAATCAGCCCTGGCATAGAGATACATGGCTTTTATATGATTACAAAGAATATGAAAGGTTTCACTAATTGCAACTGTAACTCCTAAAGCGGTTCGATACAGCGACGACTCGGGTAACTGCTCAATAGCGAGTCAGTTATTTGTCATCGCTGTCGTTTTGCCTTTGTCCAGTCAAAGGTTGCTGACCTTAGATATTCGCTTCAACTTCATGTTGTTGTCGCCTTGTCAACCGCTTCGCTGTAGCTTGGTTGACTCGGTGTTGCTTAGCTTGTGGATCTCCCTCGTTCTTGTTATAGTGTTCGACACATCAGAAGCGCGAATTATATGTTTCCAACACTCCCCGTCGCTTCTGGAGTATCGTCGCTTCCGTTGCTGATGACATGGTTTTGTCCAGTCAGCAGCATGCAGTACTCGAACTTCTGCTTTCCGAGCTTCTTGGTCAAGTAATCTGCTGCCATCTCGGACGTGTGGCAGTAGGATAGCTCGAGTCTTCCTTTCTCGATCTCGTCTTTCACGAAGAAGTATAGCAAGGCGATGTGCATCGTTCGAATCGCGAAACTGTTCTTATACACTGTTCGGACTGCCGATTCGTTGTCGCGGAAGAGGGAGAACCTAGGTAATTGGGCCAACTTTATGAAAGAATGAGGAATGTGTTGGACTAGGAAATGAGTTGGGTACAAATATGTAACCCTAGAAAGCTGTACCCCATATTGTCTACCCCACTACAGCCTAGAAAGACTATAGCATAAATGTTTGACACACCCCCATAGGCAAAGTGGGGGAGAACAAGGGGCCACAAGACCAGTCAAGCAAGGCAAGCGCAGGGTGGATCACAACGTCAACACACATTCCGAGCACAAGTTCAAGGCCACAAGGCCAGTTCACATGCAGGATTATATATAAAGATGAACAAGCAAATGCAGGTATAGGTAGATCACAGTACAAGCAAGGTCAAGAAGTGAGCAAGTGAGGCCAAGTAGGCACAAGACCTAGCATCGTACAAAAGCGCTGATGATCACAAGGCTGAAGTGCCTTGGTAAAGATATCAGCAGTGTTGGCCCTAGAGGCCACGTAAGCAAGGCGCAGCTGACCACGCTCCTACAGCTCACGAGCAAGGAAGTAGCGATGAGCAATGTGCTTCGTTCTGTGCTCCAGTCTGTGCTCTCGACACAAGGCCAACATCGACTTGTTTTCTACGTACAGTATTGGAGGAGAACGAGGCGGCTCTCCTAGGTCAGTCAGCAGGTAGGTGAGCCAACGTAGCTCCTGTGCAGCCATGTCCCCTGCGTAGATCTCAGCCTCACAGTTGGAGCCGAGAACAGAAGACGAGCGGGTAGACCGCCACGAAACAGAGCCGGAACCAAGGCTGAAGGTGTAACCCTGTGACGACCGCTGCGTAGCCTGGTCGTCAGCCCAAGAAGCGTCC